GTTGTTATAATTAGCCCCACCTCAACCACATACAACATTAAAACTCTGTGTATATGTTAATACATTACTAACAATCCAGTAAAATGACAAATAATAATATGAAAAAGGCAGTCCTACTGCCTACCTGTATGCTTTACTTTTGATACATTTTTGTGTCAGTATTTCTGTATGTTTCACTAAAGTAAAACATTGAATGCAAGACTTTTTCTTGCAAAGGAGAAATTTTACCATTATAGTTTTACTACTTTTACTTAAGTAAAGTACTTCTTTCACCACCAACTCTATAAGCACTGAGTTTTACATACACATCTCCCAAAACCAATAGATAATTGGCTAATATGTACATTACAGCAGAAATCTGACTACAAGTAAACACTTACGTTTGCCTCTTTGCATCGAAATCAACCTCCATTGACTTTTATATATCTGTATATATATATATATATATATATATATTTATATATATAGTATATGAGGGGATGTGATACTTCCAGCATCAGCTGAACTTTGAAACCTGTCATCACTGCAGAAGTAAGAAATCCATATCTGCCTTGTACAAACATACTGACTTGTTGTACTGTAAACACATTTTCAGTATTTCAGTCAATACAGTATGTGCTGACACTGTGAAATGTCTCACTGCAATAATGAATTCTGTCTGAATTGCAATAAAGTGGTATTTAATAATCACTGTATATATTTTTTCTTAAAATTCAAGACTTTTGCACATGTGAAATGATGAATGAAGAATCTTCTCTGCCTAGATGACCAGTGGACTGAAGAAATCAATATTTCACTGACTTGTGGCAAACTATAAAAATAAAAGAGTTTTGATATAATGAGAATGTTTCTTTCTTAACATTACGTAACATTCCCTTTACCTATAGTGATTTAATAATACTGGAAGAACACATACAACATACACGAGTAATTCATACATTTTCCATATAGTGGTATTTAACAAACAAGACATGCATACAATATTTTTGAATATTACAAAAATTACAAGTTTCAAAATTTAAGCAGCAGATTTTACAGACAGATCCTTACAGTCTGTCCTATTATAAGCTTTCAACCAACTCAGAGGCTTTAATAAAGCAGATGGACAGAAACCGCAGTTTTAGCTGAAAAAACAGTATTGTCATCCCTTACTGTCATCCAAAACAAAAACATTCATCATCAGCCCATTATTTCTCAACTTAATATGACGATTACCTGTGTTTTAAAGTGCACACGTGTTTTTCTGCCTCTCGCTTAGTGACCTCTTGTCTCATGCACAAAGCTGATATAATCCTGTAAACACAGTGCAGCGAGTCACAGTAATCCTGCACTGAGAGGCCACACCTAATGTTTGTAGGCAAGAGCTCTGTGTCATTTCCTTTGGCCGAGACCTTGTGTTAGCCAGGGGTCAAGGCAGTTATATTGTCCAGCGTCGCCTTGCGTCATAAACGTTTCACATCTCTGTTGAAAGACCCCAGAGAATGTATTCAATAATCCACATCACAACCCAACGACTATGTGGTGAATATCTATCACCACAATGAGCATCATGTTTTACAGGCAAGACAGAGGATTGTCATCAATCATAAGCTACGTATATGTTCCATGTTGGCGGTAAGGTGAGACAGTGGAAAACGTTACACTGCAGCAAAGGTAGCGAGGAGAGAGAAATGAAAGGATCACATCAATGTTCTGCTGCCGGTTCTGTTGGACAATTAAAATGTTAGACGGTTTAAAAGTGGTTAACAAGCAGTTGGCTGCATAGAGCAGTTGAGATCACTATGATCTTGGGGCCCACTGGGGAAAAAAAAAAACGTATGTAATTACAGTGCCCTTCTCTCCCTTTGTAGCCTCTCAGCCACCCACTCATTATCCAATTGAAACACATCCTCATGTATCATAGCCTCCATTATTGGCTATATATATACGTAAGGCTTCAGAAGGAACCTGCAAATTGTTCTTTGCTGGGGTTTCATGCGACTGACTGCACACACAAGAAAAACCTCTGGCGAACCCAAAAGCACGTATAAACTAGGCCTTGTTGTTGCAGAGTAAGCAAGTGGCAAGCTTAATAAATGACTCCCAGACAAATATAAAGTAATTCGGGATTCGAGAAAGTCTTCCAGGCTGTCTCATCCACCTGTTGCATTGGAGAGTGTTCTGTGGATGGGAAGAGTTTTTAAAGCCACACTGGCCTTCCGCCTCTTCTGTATCAGTTACATATGAGCACAATATGCAGCCTGTCTGATACAATCAATCCACCTTGGCACATAAAGACTTGTGTGTAGAGATGGTTTCAGTTAGCCATCCGAATATCCAATTAAGTTGTGAACAAGAGGCCAGAAGCTAAAACATCCAGAGGAGGACAGAGGGCCTTTCTTTGCACTCTTCAGGCCAAAGTACATTCATACTGACCAGGCTAAACTAAAAGCACCCACCCCTTACAAACATTTCCTTGGTGCAATTATACGTAAATCATTAAACTTTTATGAACTGAAAGTCACCAAAAATGTCCTCTGTTTCCACAATACCAGAAACACAGATGCAATGAAACAAAAAGGATGAATGAAATAGCGATGAACCAGATGTGATAACACAGCCAGAGAAAAAGCTTGCCACAATATTAGCGCTTACATAATCTTCTTTACGTCCAAAGAATGAGTCTTCGTCTGCATGATCTTCATGAGAGTGCAGGTCAAATATAAATTTTCTCCAGCTTTCAGGAATGGGAAGAGAGTTGATTGGATTATCACAAGGAATGATTCAGATTTTTAGCCACACTGTCATCGTTGCTCTTTGGTGTGTCAGTCAGTCTACCAGCCTCACGGAGCAGCCTCATGTACACAGCTTTTTGTGATCCTGTACTGTGTATACAAGGCTGGATAACCAACTGGGCAAAGCAGGCACCTGATAAAAAGCCAGAACCCCCATGAAGCCACAGTTTTGTGGTTTGTAGGAATTTGATTAACTATAACTTCAGTTGGGAATATGAGAACATAACATGTACTATCAAAGCACAATATCCACTGACATCATGAAGGAGTTCAGGTGGGTCCTATGTCATTACCTGTCATAGGCCATAATCTAATTTAAGATCTTCATTACTTCGGGTGATATTGTGCTTACATCATGCATGTTCCTCAATTGCATCAAACTACCACATGGACAAGGAGTCATGTCATATTCCAGCATAAGAAGAAGTACTGCACACAGTGCTCAGACAGGAGAGGATTTGAGTCTTATTGGGACGCAGCTCATTCTTAACCCAGGGCTTTTGTGGGTTAATCCAGCCATGCATATCAAATAAATTTCATTTTATCTGATCATTTAGTGACCAGTCAACATCCTGGCAGACTGGAAGCACCATCATTCACAAAGGCTCCACTCCTTTCAAAGGAGAGATGCTTCATTTAAAAATCATATGCTCTCTTTTACAGTCACTGCCTGTTTACTGGTGCTTTCCAAGGGATGCCATGGATTTACCTCTTGCCAGGAAATGCACCCAGAACTCTGCACCTTAGGGACAGTTCCCCTTTTAGACACTTGATTTGCGTGGGCCGCACATGTGCTCAGAGAGAGAGTGGAGGATGACTCATCGGACTGTATGACCACAGTTCATGTGTTCTTTGCACCGCTTCACTCTCAAAAAGGGCATTTTTAGGTGTAATAAGAGGTTTAGGCAGTGCAACCCTACTATTCTGTCCCTCCCTTTGAAGTTTTCAATTTACTGTTTTGATGAAACTGCCGGGTCAATTGAGTCCCGCACTGACATATACAAAGTTGTCTGTTTTTCTCTTGCATGTCAAAACTAAGCACAGACATTTTGGTGACCAAAGAGCGTGCACCTCCACTCCAAACTGATGACGTCTTCTCTTTAGACCTACAGGAGAGAATCACCTGATGCTGAGGTTGTTCCTTGTAACAAACATGATGAGCAGTTTCCCTCATCGAGCCTCTTGTGAAAGAGATCAGAGTGATTGTTTTTATGTCCTGATCTAGCCAGCACATGATCTAGTGGTGAAGGTACAGAATTTGTCATAGGGATCAAACCTGTGTGAAACCACTTACCTACAATGTACTTTGTTATCCTAATTACCAGTACAGTACAGCACTGTACAGCAAACTTCAGGATAAATTGCTGAGATGAGCATGTTCTCTTACAGAACTCTACAAACCACATCATTAATTTTAATAATCCTGCATTTGCCTTTATATTCCCTTCAATAATGTCACATCCTTCTGAAATTAGTTAAGAAAATCAACGATGACAACGGAGTCAGGATTCCCTTTTAAGACCACTTTAAACAACTCTTGTTGGCTACATTATAATATAGATAAACAAGACAGGAAAGCCTTAATCCCAATACACCTTATTTCTCAGAGTAAGGGTACATTAAGAACCTCTTGGTCTTCACAGTTATGCTAAAAAAGTCCTAATTACATCAAATTAAATAAAATGAGAAAAAAAACTACTAAAAGTGACAGGTTCAGATGGTCAGGGGTTATCAAATGGACTTTGTCATAAATAGGTCTAATAACACTGATCAATAACCATGTAATCATTAACAAAGGGGTATTCAAAATTACTAGCGGCTTCAGAATCAATCCATTAATAATTATAAAGACATGGCTCTTAACTAAGTTTTAGACTATGGTACTTTTCATAAATAATTAATGTTGATTTTTTGGCAAAATTAAGGACAGGGATAACTAAGTTGTTTCAACAGACTTACTTACTTACTCATCTCTTAAGTATAAGGTCAGCAGTTAATGATTAATTTAATTCCATTTGTGATGTGCTGCTCATTATGAAAATCTTGAAACTAATTGTGACTCTTCACATCAAGAATGAGGTCAGTTAATAGAGAAATGGCTCCATCTGTTGGGACAATGCTGCATCAAAAGGGAACTTTTCAGCTAGTGTTTCCTCACACAGTGACCTATGGACATACCAGCTGACTTCACGTGACTTATATGAAAGCAGGATTACATAGGTTTTAATCATCACACACGCTGACAGAGATCCTCCACTGACTTGAACGCAGAGGGGCCTAAAAGCAACATACACCGGTGAAAAGAGCAACACGTACCTACTGGATCATGGAGAGCAGCACACAGAGCTCCCCTCTTTCTTCCTGGAGTGACTGTTTCGTATTGAAGCGGATCCGCATGTTGGTCCCTGTTGGTTTCAAGACAGAAGTCAAAGAGTTGTCTAAACTGGCCGGACCAGTGGTAAGTAGTGTCCATTTACTGTACAGTCACTGTCCAATTAGTCAATCATACTACAACAATGATAATAATGATGATAATAATGGCGGTGTCCAAACTAATTTTGATTCATTTGAATTTTTCTCATAAGATTATATCCCAGTTCATGGCTTTTGCAGTGGGTTTAGTCAGCACTATTTTCTGTGGCCATCTGGGGAAGACAGAGCTGGCATCAGTGTCTTTGGCCATAGCAGTAAGTAATGTACAGTACAGTATAATAATGTCCTCTCAAGTTAAACCAATATAGCAACAAAACCTAATCCACCAATATTTCTGTTATATCCTCAGGTTATTAATGTTACAGGTATATCTATTGGCTATGGGTTGTCATCAGCATGTACTACTCTGATTTCTCAGGTATGAGTCTCAGCCTGTCACACACATTTTTTTAATCAGATACGAAAAGCGTTGTCAAGAGTTTGAAAAGAAGATTATAGGGATAATAGGGAAAAAAAATACATACCCTCTGGTTTTAGACCTTTGGGAGTGGTAACTTCCTGAGAGTTGGGGTCATTATGCAGCGGGCGATCCTCATCTTGATACTGGCGTGTTTCCCCTGCTGGGCGATCCTCATCAACACAGAGCCCATTCTCTTGGCGGTCAGACAGGAACCAGAGGTGGCCAGGTCAGCTGTCTTTAAAAAACCTCTCCCTCTCCCTCTGCTTGTTCTTTTCTTGTTGGATCTGATGAAGTATCTCTCTCTAGGTTGGCTCAGATGTATGTGAAGATTTTCATGCCAGCACTTCCTGTGAGTATGTCTTATTATTATACAACTAATATTTAAGGTGTTCATCAGTCCAGAACTCTAACTTTATAGATGCACTGTGGGTAAATAGTGAACTTGAAAAAAATTGATCTCAGAGCTTTGGCACCATAAAAATTGGGACTGGAACTGGAACAGCACATCTCACATGATGATTTTAATCTTTGGACCCATTTAGTGATATCTGTGATCATTGCTGTTTGTGTGTTTAGGGTTTTATGTGACTGACTATATTTGTGCTATTTCTTCTTCTGTAGTCTGAAGACTATCTCATTAAACAAAGGCTATATACTGTACATTGACATTGCAGTATGAAGCCCAGCCTCCTTTGAAGGATCACATCTTGTGCAAGTGGCCTGCACAAGATGTGATCCTGTCCTTTGTCCAGTACATTCTGGGATAGAAAACAGCCTCTGCCCTTGATCCTGAGTAGGAATTAATGCTTCTTGATGAATAGATGAATAGCAATGTAGTAGCTTTATTGATATTTTTATTGTTTTGTCTTCACAGGCTACATTCATGTATTCATTAGAAACAAAATATCTGCAAAACCAGGTAAGGTCCATTATTACTCAACATTAAGTAATAAGACAGTTTGATTATATAAAAGAGGGGTCACAGAGCCAATGATTTGCTTCCTTTTATCCACAAAAGGATAGCGTGGATCCAATATACAGAAAAATTCTATTAGCCAGCTTTCTATTCATTTGGCTACAGTGTAGATCCAGGCTGCATACTGATGTGACATTAGGGATTAATGCTGTCCCAATTCAAATGGTAATGAGGTCAGGGCTGCCTGAACTTCTCCATGTCAAGGGACTTAAAACAAATGTGCATGAAACCACAAACCTCCAAGTGCTGAGTCCCAAACTGTACAGTAATTTCTACTTTCTCAAGGTCTCGCAACACTGTTCTCAACAGTGCTCCCTTTTAAGTTTTTAAATTGGCTCCTCATCGTGTGCAGATGTATCCATGAATTGTTGAATTATACATCTTCTGCCTGTTAATGGGAGGGAGACCAAGTGGTGAAAAACCCTTAAGGAGCTCCTACATTTTGCATGTGTCTGATAAGAATAATATGTGACACTTTTCTTTTAGGGCATCATATGGCCACAGGTAATCACAGGCTTTGTGGTCAATCTTCTGAACGCTCTCATCAACTACGTCGTTCTCCACGCATTAAAACTGGGAGTAGCGTGAGTATCGTTTACTGGACTGCACATGGCTCATTCAGGATCATCATTACTGGTGGCATCACATAGCCAGTCATACTATAAAATACTCTTTGCAGTGGTTCTGCTGTTGCCAACACCATTTCTCAGTTCGCCATGGCTGGAATTCTATATGCTTATATCATGTGGCGAGGTCTTCATAAGGCCACCTGGGGAGGTGAGTACATTTGCTTTGGAAGATAGTGATCCTGCATATAATCAGGGACTCCAGTAGTTTCCCTCAGCATGCGTTATAATGAGTTATTATAGCAATGAATAAAAGAGGATCAAGCTGTAGCTTAAGAGGCAAAAATACTCCAATTTTGAAGAGTCAACACAAATCAGGATTTTGATATATGAAATATTTAGAATCTTAGTTACAGGTCATGTATAGGTGATCAGAAAATACACTAGTTAGTTGTTAAAGGCACTTAAAGAAAACATAACACCTATCTTAAAAGATAGAGTAATAATAATAGTATTACAAAAAACTGTGAGTGCAACTGTGTCAGAAAAAGCAATATCTGCACCTCTTCCTACAGTTTAAGGTGAATAATACTGTTTTGATCAGAAATGTGTGAGCAATATCTACAACAAACGCAACACAGTGAAGCTTTTGTGTGGTACTTTGGAGTAAATTTCTATTTTTGCATGCAGTACTTGTCTGTGGAGAACATTTCTTCTTCTACAACAGCATAAAATGTCTTATATCTGACATCCTGAGGGCATAAACTACGGTGTAGTTTTATACCCTTGTGTGCAAGCAGCAGTACTTCAGGAAGAGTCTTCACTGAACAATGAGCTTTCATTCTTAACTGACTGAGTAAATGAGTAACATACTCATTCACTGTTTGACTACACAGGCTGGTCAAAAGAGTGCATGCAGAACTGGGGCTCATTCATTCACTTGGCCATCCCCGGCATGGTGATGCTTTGTGTTGAGTGGTGGACGTATGAAATTGGAGCTTTTCTGGCAGGTACTGTCACAAGGTCACACTGCGGTTTTAAAGCATCTGTGTGAAGTAAAGTTGGTCTGAAATCTAACTGCTGTTTGTTGTTGACAGGTCTAATAAGTGAGGTGGAACTTGGAGCTCAGTCAGTCGTATACCAGCTGGCAAATATTGCATACATGGTGACTTCGCTCATGTGAAATAATCTCTCCTCTACCAAACACTGAATATACATCAAATTGTTGACAGCATATTAACATTGTATGTTTGTCATTAGTTCCCTATTGGTTTTAGTGTAGCAGGCAGTGTAAGAGTTGGAAATGCCTTGGGAGCTGGAGAAACAGAGCAGGCCAAGCTGTCTGCTAAAATGTCAATGTTCTGCTCAGGTCAGTGTGCACTTACACACTATTTAATCCTTTTTGTCCACATGTCATTAAAATGGCATGTATTTTAAGTTGACATAATACTTGAATTGTTCAAATTTCACTCTGTCACTGAAATTACATGCTGGAGTAGCTTAGAGTTATAGAACAAGTTCTCTTGACTGAAAACATAAAGTGAGTCATCGAGTCATCGACTTATGAGGTGCCCTAGAGCAGGGCATAAACTGCTCCAGCAGAAAAGGCTGACCAATGAGGTTAGGTTGTGTGAATAAATGTCAGCGTGTTACAGAAAAAAATGAATGATTCTGAATGATGCAACTGGTGGATAATCGAGTCTGTCACTCTTTACCACAGGGTCAGTGTCTATATGTTTGGCAGTTCTCATTGCGAGTCTAAAGGGCCATATCTCCTACATTTTTACGTACGATGAGTGAGTACATCTTATCATGTGTTTTTATAACTACAAATCTCATTGCTTTGTAAAAACACTCTTTTCCCAGGGAGTGTTACATTAACACATGCTGAGTCAAGTCTGCCGGCGATAGCAGGTCTCTTATATGAACTTTCCCCATTATGAGAGTCATTGCTTGCAACAAAAACAGTGAACTCTGCATAGATATTCTTTTACACATTAACTTGAGGCAAATGTTTTGACAGGCCCACTCAAGCTGTGTAGCATCATAGCAAAGACAATTCACTTATTTCTCTTTTGTCAGAGATACTAGAATAGTATAAAATTGCACTGTGCTCCAAAATACACACAAATGTAATATTCTTGTCATTTTCTCTCTTAAATTTTGAGTCTTTTCTTTCCTAACAGACAAATCAGGGAAAGGGTTGCTGATGTTATAAGTTTCTATGCTCCAGTCATCCTCCTAGATGCAATATCAGTAAGTATATCCCTTCCATTATGTCAAGATCTCATGATATACCCACAGATTGTTGTATTTGTGAAGAATTACAGGCGTTTTTGGCAAGTCTAATGACATATTTATTTTTGTGTGTGACTAGGGTGCCACAAGTGGCATTATACAAGGAGCAGGTAAACAGAGAGTTGGGGCTATTTGCAACACTTTGGGATATTATGGCATTGGTTTCCCTATTGGAGTGCCATTGATGTTTGCTGCCAAATTAGGAATCAAGGGTAAGATTCACAGCAGAGATGTTCTCTTTAGCCTTTAGCTGTTTTGTACCACATTGTTGACTGGTAATTTTCAAGTTTTATCCCCAGCATCTTTTTTTTAGTAGGAGCTCACCACAGCATCAACATTTGCTTGTTACTGTTTCCAAACAACTCAATTCTTTTACAGGTCTGTGGATGGGCTTGTTTACCTGTGTGTTTCTACAATGCTCATTTCTGATTTTCTACCTGGCAAGAATGAACTGGAATAAAGTTACAGTCGAGGTTAGTATTCAGAGGTAAATCTTCCCATTATACATGGCCTAAGGCTACTTCTGTATGAATATAATGTTTGAACATTGTTTTTCCTCCAGGCTCAAATAAGAGCGGGCATGCGTGGGAGCTCCACAGACACAAGTAAGAAAGATAATGCAGCAACTAAAGTATTTTATACTGTTAGAAAGAAAGACAACATTTATCCTATTCAGCACAGAAAAAAATCATCTTTGTATCTTTGCTGAAGTTACAAGCTAAACTGACACAACCCCTGCCTTTCTAGCTAAGTAGAAACTAGAATTAACCACAAATTATTTCATTCTAAAATTGTAGCCATAACCACTGCCATCTCTAATGTAGTCCCAGTTGAGTTAAAAATACCATTTATTATTGCTAATAAACATCAGCATGTTGTGTAATTGACATTAGCAAACTAGTAGTCTAGCTAATGGTAGAAAAAAAACAAACAAACAAAAAAAAACAAAAAGAAAAAAAACATGGCATTCATAATATTATTTACAATTTCAATTATTGAGCTATTAATGCATAAAACCAAAAATAAACCGATCACCTTCAAGGAATAGTTTCATGCGAATGACAAATTTTTCGCAAAATTGCAGATAGAATCTTTTAATTTGAAGTTCCTAGTTGAAGTGAAAATGTGACATTTGCATATTTATGTCCAGGTCCGCAGCCAGATGTTCCAGGTAACTCACATGGCCAAACAGACAACATGGACCTGGTTGACACTGAGGAGGAACCAACAGTGAAGGAGGAGCTGGATCACAGGACTCTGGTTCTGCGGAGAGGGTTGGCTCTGGCTGCCATGCTATTCATCCTGGCTGCTGGAATCATTATTAACCTACTGATCACTAACTTGGTTACATGAACATGAACAAAGTCTGTTGTATTCAGTGGAGTAACTCATGAGTAACTCATCAACTCATGATGCTGCTGCTTCCATCGCAGGAAGTCAGAGCAGCACAGTAGAGAGGCAGAAGTGCAGATAAGCAGGAAGGAGGAGGTATGAGCAATGAATTAATCTCTGAAGCAAAATATTACTCTTAAACCATTATTTCACAGGATTTTCCAGTGAATCTGAAGGCATTTGGTTCACAACCACATTCTGGCAAACTACAGAGAGGTCGACAACCTCTGTATTTATAAGATTAAACAGAAACATTGTGATTATGTTGAACTCTTGAAGTCAATCTCACTCTTCATTTGGGACCAGAACAGTGGATAAAATTTGATCAGGAGTGTACGTAGTATTGATCCAGGCCTTCGTAAAGTTGGCCTCTGAAGAAAAGGTCTGTGGAAAGGGTGCAAGGAAGTGCACACTTGCTCCCACAGCCAGAAGTCCGACAGCCAAAAACATAGTGAGGCCTCGCCTGAGTATCAGCTGGGTGGTGGAGAGACGACCTCCCTTCACCTGCTGGACCACATGTCCATCTTGTGTCTCTGTATTTCCATCATGGCACTCAGTTCTCACAGATATATAGCCATCCACTGACTGCCAGAAAATATCATATTCATCATTACTTTATTTAGTTAAATCATATGTAGACACAGTAAAACTCAAAGGATGTCAAAAACTTAATGACAAGAGGAGACAAGTGAGGAAAAATAATATAGGTTTTGAAAGTTTAGCAGGACACTTACGTTTCCATTACCTGCTGTCCGGTCAGCAGTATTGTTACCATCAGTGTCCGACAGTGCAGCTGTGCTTATTAATATCATGTGAGTGTTCTTCTGAGCTCGTTTCAGCGCCTGCAAGCAAGCAGAGACCTTTACGTGTAACAAATACAGTAGGTTTTGAAGGCACAGTTTGATACTGAAGTCCAAACTCAGAGGCGCTGAAAAGCCTACCTCCTCTGTCATTTTCTCCCAGTTCAGCTTGAAGATGACAATGATGTAGAAGGTGGATTGTAAAATGACACAAACAAGCAGTCCCAGCCAAAAACCTGCAGAGAAACAGACCACTTCGTCAGTTATGTGCACGGCCGACTTCATTTAAAAAATGTAAAAAATATTTTGGAAATCACAAAAGAAGGTCTCTTTATGCAATTACCTAAAACTCTCAGCTTTGCTACAAATATTAAAGTAACACTCAGTGAAAGTCCTATGCAGTAGTAGCCAATGAAATTAGCCACAGCTGGTATCTTCTGTTTGCCCGTGCCCAAGAAGATGCCTGTGCACACACACTAGGATGTAAAGAGACAAATCTCTAATTATTATGCATTCTCACTCGGTAACATCCAGATAGATAAACATTTTATATTTGACTTAATTTACATGTTTTTGATAATAATGCAAATATATTTGTTTTGCTAACCAAAAAAAACGGTAAGGCTCACCACAAGACCATCGAAGAACTGGAGGAAACAGTAGGCATTCATCAAGTGCGAAACCAGACCTATGATCTTCCTGAAATATGGTTAGTAAGATCTATATTTATCACACCTGGTCTTTATGTGTAGCACTAGTACTCGAACAATCACATTTGGTGAAATGTGAGTGCAGCTGTGGAGACTCACTCATCAGAGGTAAAGATGGAGCCAATCACTGTTTTAGTAGAGCCAAGCACCAGACCTTCAACAACCGCCATGCTGCCTGTAAAAGAGGAGCTGTGAAGTCTGTCCAACAGTAAAACATGTTGATGAAACCAAACATCAGATGCTGATTTCTTAATAAAGGCAACAGAAAATGTTTATTGCTGACCTGCAAGAGTGAGTGACATCTTGCTGGTGAGGATTGCCCTGGCAGTGTCTCCTGCCCCGAGAGCATTACCCACACGGGCACACGCTGCAGCTTGAACACCGAGAGGAAACTATGGAGTCATCATTTTTGAACAAGCATGAAAAAGAGTTTGCTCCTGAGAGTGTTCAGAAGTTAACTGAATCTGACTAAAGGTAAACAAACTTTCAACCTCAAATTCAAACGTGTTGGGAGAAAAGTTTTAAAATAAGAATGTAGCGCTCTGACTATATTCAGTACCATGTAGGTTATGAATGCCACCATTATCACAGCATGTTGAGCTGCCAGCTCGTCTTCACTCAGCATCCCTGATCGTTAGAGAAGAAATCACAGTCATGACTTGGAGTTTGTATCGGGTTGAATGAAATCAAATGAATTACAAATATCTATTATTTAGATTACCTGCAAAAAATCCTCCAAACTCATAAACCCACCACTCAAAGCACTTCATCAGTGTACTGGGGATGGCCAGCTTCATGTAGGAACCCCACTCCTGCAGTGATTCTACGGACCAACCTGCAGGGGGAGAGATAAACTTATTTATGTAGAGATAGAAAACCTTTGGCTGGCTTCTTGGAAAATGAACAAAGTAATCCACAAGGTCATAAGGACACAACAAATATCTACTAAATATAACTGTCCCTCACCTCCCCATGTTTTCACATGGAGCTTCTTCCACCAAATGTAAGCAAACAGAAAAGCACAGATGTAAATCTGAGACAGAGTATTGGCTGCTGCAGATCCACTGTAAGACACGCACACAGACACAGTGATATCAGTGTGAGCAACAGTTTTATTCACATTTAAAATGTTGTCGAGAACACCTACACCTACCTAACCCCCAGATCCAGCCAGTGAAGAAAGACGTAGTTCGTCACCACATTTGCAATGTTTGCCATGGCGGCAGTGTACATTTGAGGCAGTATTATACCCTGTACACAAGGCAGGCAGTGTTATTACCACCACTCATACCTTTTCCATCAGAAATTCAATTAGATTAAGATTTACAACATTTTTATACGCTGCAATAATATGATACAGAACTGGATCAACACAGAATTAGTTCAGGACAGTGTGTACCTGGTTCTGCAGGTAAGACACCTGAAGGTTATGTAGAAACATTGCCTGCACAGAAAGAAGATTTTGATATGTTGTTTAAATATATAACATCTTATTGTTCAGAAAAAACTGCAAAATAATAACTGAAAATGTTTTTTAAATGTTGGATAAAAGGCGAGAGAAAAGTCAGGACTCACTGGTACAGCAGGGAGGAAGGCTGTAATATACAGCTGGGCTATTCTGAAATCAATGCACTACATTCAGTTCAAATTAAAGACAAACAAGCATTATACTATTATATAATAAAATATTCACTGTTGAGCATCATTAGTTTTCTGCCATCATTAGTTTCACTGCCAGAAAGCTAAGTTTGGAAAATGTCCTATTTCCTAACAAGTTAAAGCTGCCGAAATCACTAGCACCTTGTTCTGATTTTACGCCCCTCACATCTTACTGCTCTTGTCAACCATGAACCCCTACGGTAGCAGCAGCAGGCAGCTAGCATTCACATTCACTGTGAAAACCCCATCGAGTCAACCTTACCAGAAGCAAACAGCTGACAAGTTCGTGAGTAGCTGCTGAACTTGGATATCTAGCAAGCTAAAGAGTCAGATATCTTTCAGGACCGTAACCCACTTATAATGGTCCGGTGAACAGAGTCATACCACCAGTAGGATGATAGTGTTGCTCTGTGTCTGCAACATTTGTAAGTTAGCCCTACTATCTTCATAAGGCGATGATGGCTGTGTGTCTGTTAGCTTTTTTGAGAGTTACTTTGCCAATGGGTGACCGAAATCTAATAATGCAGCTTTAAAGAAATATTATACAGGCTATATATATTTAAATACAGGTAAAGCACAGTGTGTCTAATGGTTAAAAGATTAGGAGCAAGATTTGTGCAATAAAACCAAGATATCTTTACTTTATACAATTGGTGAATGTCATGTGGTGAATATCTGGAATACAGATTGTCTGTTTATGCTGAAACTGTTCAGTGAATCTGTGGAGACCACATCTGATTTTAATGCTGAGATGGTGTTTGTTAAAACGTGAGAGGTTGTCTCAAGCTCTGACTCATTACTATTCAAAATTGTCCGCATCACTGGAAGGGGTTGCAATAGGATTACATGCAGGTGAGGTGCTGTTAGTTACCTGGCCACCTCAGGGTCCTGACCCACACATAACAGGATGGCCTGGGCATTAATGAGCAGACCCCAGCAAGGCAGACAGAACAGCAGCAGGATGATGATGCCCCGCTGAAGGATCACTCCCACCCGCAGCAGGTTCCTACCACCAAATGTCTGCACGACATAATTAACAATTTAGAGGGGACGGCAGTGATAAACACAAGGGGGTCAATAAAAATTCCAGTGTCTTATGTCATCTTTTCAAAAGGGATTTCCAAACCTGAGACACCAGCGTATCACATGCCAGCCCCAGACCATATCCAGTTGCTGCAGTGGTGACATTAATTGTCTGAAATGAACATGAAACATGCTTGAATGGGTTTGACCTAAACTAGTGATCATCAGGTTTGTGAGAGAATTGTAAAAGCTATCTTGGGAAGGTGAGTTTACATTTGTACATTTTTACATTTCATTTTCCCTCTGCCAACTCTCATTTTCTCGTGTTAGCCTCCACATAGCTCTGTCAAGCATACAGATGACCACTTACAGCAGAAGCCAATCCGTAGCCAGCCATCACGTCATTTCCCAGACGTCCACAGAACATTGTGACCACAAATGGAAGCAGGTAATTGAGGATTCGAGAGAGCAGCTGGAAAGACAAACACCAACAACGGCGCAGTTGATACAGCTACCAGCTCACAGATTGTAAAATACAGTAAACACAAGTTGCAATTACTTATCATGACACTCAGACTATGACTAGGCAAATAAGCTACCACACTGTCGTCACTTTTGGCAGGTTGCCGCCACTGTTCAGCCACTGTCTGAAACCTGCCAAACACTGTTCTATTGGATTCTTCTCCTAAGTCTCAGAAATAGAATCTTGTTTTCCAGACATCTTAACCTTCTTTGGCAAAGAAAGAATATCATCAATCTTCAGTTGTCTAAATCAGCTTTTCAGCAAAGGTAGCCTCAGTCCACAAAGTGCCTTACAGACAGAGGAAGGTATATAAACAGTGCCAATCCTTACCAGAGGCCCCGTCATCCTCAGGATGTGGTACAGCTCCTCTCTGTGGGCCAGGGGAACCTTGTTGCGCACCCACCTGCAGCAGAAAAGCTTGTCACTGGATGCCTCCATGTCTATAGCACGATAAGATGCCAATGCAGGTCCCTCTGATGCCGAAGTGTCCGTCTTTTCTCCCATGTACTTATCTTAGTTGCTCTCCAGGGTGTTGGACAGAATGGAAATCTTGCTGTGGTCACAACTTCCCTGGAACTAAGCCAAGACCAGCTGAAACAACGCAGACAGGAAAAAGGCCTGCAATCACAACAAAGACAAAGATGTGGGACTTGGAGGCAAGACAGTTTTGATTTGAGTGGTTAAAATACAATTTACTGCCTCTAGTTCCTCTAATTTTCCTCCAAGAACATTTTTTCTGTTATTATCTAGCCACTAAATATGAAAAGGCTTCATGGAGTTAAATTGTCTCCAAATGATGTTCTGGTCTACCATTCTGTAAATGTTTTATCTTTGGTATGATGAAAAATCTGTTAATAGTGAACCTTTATATGTTAGTCAACAAAAACAGAGGTGGACAAAGTGCACAACTCCATTACTTAAGTCAAAGTAGAGATACTCCTGGTCAAATATCACTCCAATACGAGTAGAAGTACTGGAGGACTTGCTTTTAAAAATACACAAGTATTCAAAAGGTAAATTTTTTATGTCAGCACATTGTTGTATTTTTCCACAGTGCATTTACAGAACCTAATGACTTGAAAACAACCTACTGAATGAACTGACTTACTGTTGAACATGTGGAATAAAAAGCTTCTATAATACAAACCCTATAGAAATGGCCATAAAATGACAATTGAATAAACAAAAGGGCCGCCATTGTCATTCTAGTTTCTTTTTTTTTTTTTCCTCTCTTTTTTTTTATTTAACACAGAACAACCCTCACAAAACAGCATGGCAGTGTACTGAAACAGCTTTGGCAGTGTGTGTGTGTGTGTGTGTGTGTGTGTGTGTGTGTGTGTGTGTGTGTAGTTGAATAAAAGTCTTAAGTTTCCAAATAAATAATAAAGTAAAGTACAAATACTGGAAAAATATCCTTAAGTACAGTACTGAAGTAATGTGCTTTGTTACTGTCCAGCCCTGAATGAAAAACAGTTTACTTTGTCTCTTTTTAGTCCCAAGGGTAAACAACCACTGAATACAAAAGCACAAAATTCAACCCACGAAACTTCACTACTTTTTTTATTCAATAAAATAGAAAGTCTATTCACATTTCTACAAACACCATTATTTTTTCTGTCCCAAGACTAGAGATGAGTTTTGAAATAGGATCTGTAGAGCTCCTAAAAACAGCTTTCATTACAGGTAGAAATGACATGAAAGTCAATGAGAAGAAGAAGAGAAGGGGAATGAAACTTTCAATGAATTCATCTCTTAAATTCATTCATGTCACTTTTCAGCCAATCTGCCACAGTTTAACCCCGAGCTTCTCACAGCTATTGAGTCCCACAAACAATGATTTCATGATCAAAGTTCTCAAGGTTACGCTGTCTCTTCTATTGGGACCGGCACAGTGGAGAAAATTTGATCAGGAGTGTATGTAGTATTGATCCAGTCCTCTGAAGAAAGGATCTCTGGCAAGGGCACAAGAAAGTGCACACTTGTTCCCACAGCCAGAAGTGCAACGGTTGCAAACATAGTGATGCCTCGCCTGAGGATCAGCTGGGTGGTGGAGAGACGACCTCCCTTCACCTGCTGGACCACATGTCCACCTTGCATCTCAGTGTTGCCATCATGGCATTCACTTCTTACAGACATGTAGCCATCCACTGACTGGAAAGGAAAAAACATCATATGTCCAACTAGGAAAGCTATCAGATATTGAGTATCTTATAGAAACGTATTACATCAAAACCAAAATAGAAAAGTTCATTGATTACAGTGTGAAATGAGATATGAAAAGCCGTTTAGGTTGTTAGCGTTCAGAATAAACAAGCCTCTCAGAATAACTGGCCACTTACGTTCCCATTACTCTCTGTCTGGCCGATAGTGTTGTTACCCGGAGCGTCTGACAGAGCAGCTGCACTTAATAATGTCATGTGTATCTTTTTCTGAGCTCTTTTCACAGCCTGCAAACAAGCAGAGATAAAAACTTAACTGCCAATTTCAGCACACGTTTAACAAAAAGCTGTTGAAATTTGCCAGATTTGTCTCAGAGACCAGTGCTGTAGAAATAAAACTAATTCTGTCATTGCATATGAACAGATGAGGCCCTGCGTGATTCTGATTGTTAGATTAACCAGTGGCCTACCTCCTCTGTCATCCTCTTCCAGTTCAGGTTGAAGATCACAATGATGTAGAAGGTGGATTGTAAGACGACACAAATGAGCTGTCCCAGCCAAAAACCTCCAGATAAAAAGACAAATTAGTCTGTCAAGGGCACAGCAGGCTTCACTTATGATAAACTGCTCTTAGTACGCAGCCATGTACTTGTCTTGAATGTCAATGAAAACAACAAAACATTCATTTAATTACCCAAAACTCTCAGCTTTGCGACAAACATTAAAGTAACACTCAGTGAAAGTCCTATGCAGTAGTATCCAATGAAATTAGCCACAGCTGGTATCTTCTGTTTGCCCGTGCCCAAGAAGATGCCCGTGCACACACACTAGGAGGGGGAAAAAGAAATTTCACGTTTGATATATACAGTATATGACTTGCTTTTGGCATCATACCGCAAATATATTTTGTTGTTGACCACGACACAAGCTGGTAGACTCACCACAAGACCATCAAAGAACTGAAGGAAGCAGTAAGCATTCATCAAATGGGAGACGAGACTTATGATCTTCCTGAAATGATAATTAACATGGTGTCTAGTTGTACTCTTACAACTTTGTCATACAGTTGGTGAAATGTGAGTGCAGCTGTGGAGACTCACTCATCAGAGGTAAAGATGGAGCCAATCACTGTTTTAGTAGAGCCAAGCACCAGACCTTCAACAACCGCCATGCTGCCTGTAAAAGAGGAGCTGTGAAGTCTGTCCAACAGTAAAACATGTTGATGAAACCAAACATCAGATGCTGATTTCTTAATAAAGGCAACAGAAAATGTTTATTGCTGACCTGCAAGAGTGAGTGACATCTTGCTGGTGAGGATTGCCCTGGCAGTGTCTCCTGCCCCGAGAGCATTACCCACACGGGCACACGCTGCAGCTTGAACACCGAGAGGAAACTATGGAGTCATCATTTTGAAAAAAATAAAAAAATCAATATATTAAAAAAAACAATCATCATCAAATCATCAATCATGTCATGCAAAAAAGCCTGCTCCTGAGAGTGGTTCAGAAGCGAAACAACTATAATTTGTGACAGTTATTTTTTTAACCGGTCTAAATCTGAGGAATTGTCACTTTTAAAGGGATAATGAAAAGTTTTGATTTGCAGTCACTACAAATTACCATGTAGGTTATGAATGCCACCATTATCACAGCATGTTGAGCTGCCAGCTCGTCTTCACTCAGCATCCCTGATCATTAGAGACAAAGGAGAAATCACGACTTAAAATTTGGTTTAATGGCTTACAGACAGTATTAGATAGCATAATTAAATGTATGTCTGTAAGAATGGACTCCAAGTAATCATAAAAAATATTTGGATTACCTGCAAAAAATCCCCCAAATTCATAAACCCACCACTCAAAACAGGTCATCAATGTACTTGGGATGGCCAGTTTCATGTAGGAACCCCACTCCTGCAGTGATTCCACAGACCAGCCTGCAGGGGGAGAGAGAAACTCATTTATGTCGTCTAAAAAAAGATGGAGGCTGAACAGTGTCATGTACTGTAAGTAATCACAGAGAGAGCATAAGAATGAAATCCCTCACCTCCCCATGTTTTCACATGGAGCTTCTTCCACCAAATGTAAGCAAACAGAAAAGCACAGATGTAAATCTGAGACAGAGTATTGGCTGCTGCAGATCCACTGTAAGACACGCACACAGACACAGTGATATCAGTGTGAGCAACAGTTTTATTCACATTTAAAATGTTGTCGAGAACACCTACACCTACCTAACCCCCAGATCCAGCCAGTGAAGAAAGACGTAGTTCGTCACCACATTTGCAATGTTTGCCATGGCGGCAGTGTACATTTGAGGCAGTATTATACCCTGAGTACACAAACAGATGATGAGATGATGATGCAACGAGTACCACTTAGCTATACCTCCCCACATAGCATATTTAGACTCTGTGCAATAAGAGGACAGAACTGTGTAAAAGACATTAACACACCTGGTTCTGCAGATAAGACACCTGAAGCTGATGTAGAAACATTGCCTAAAAGACAAAGACGGATGAAAACTGTTGACTTTAAGGTGTGTGGGAAAGTAGTTTCTCTATTCATCACTAATAATGTATTGAATTAGTACATAAATGCGAGAGAAAAGCCACAACTCACTGGCACTGCTGGAAGAAAGGCTGTAATATACCGCTGGGCTATTCTGAAATCAAGAAGCTGTATTCAGATCCAGTTAAAGGTAAGGAAATGATCGTTTAACATACATCAACTGATATCAATTTTATCAGTTTAAGCACAGATATTTCCACTCCTGCTCAGAAATGTTAAGCTATTGTATAAGGACTTCAGAACCCTGGAGGCAGGTTTGTTACCTGGCCACCTCAGGGTCCTGGCCCAGACATAACAGGATGGCCTGGGCATTGATGAGCAGACCCCAGCAAGGCAGACAGAACAGCAGCAGGATGATGATGCCCCGCTGAAGGATCACTCCCACCCGCAGCAGGTTCCTACCGCCAAATGTCTGCACGACAGTGCACAAACAATGTTAATCATTACATGGAAGAGCGTAATGAACAGTTGGGTTCTGGAGTCAGTGGAATTGCGGGCAAATTTGTTTTGGACAAAGAGCTTTACAAACCTGAGACACCAGCGTATCACATGCGAGTCCCAGACCACATCCTGTTGCTGCAGTGGTGACGTTAATAGTCTGAAATGAACATGAAACATACTTAAAGGGGTTTGCCATATTTCTATGACTCATGAGTGTAAATGTACTATACACTGATTAAATCATCAGGTTGGTGAGAGGACTGTAAAAGCTATCCATGGGAAGGTTCGCTTTCATTCCACCAACTCCCTTGAAATTACATCTTCACCTCTCATTTTCTCATGTTAATCTCCACGTAGCTCTGTGGAGCACACAGATGACCACTTACAGCAGAAGCCAATCCGTAGCCAGCCATCACGTCATTTCCCAGACGTCCACAGAACATTGTGACCACAAATGGAAGCAGGTAATTGAGGATTCGAGAGAGCAGCTGGAATGACAAACACCAACAACGCTGCAGTTGATACACCTACCAGTTCACAGGTGATGTTACAATAAAGGTTACAATGAATTTGCATGGCCATCTTTGTAAATGAGCTACCACACTGTCAGTGCTTTGGCAGCTTGTAACCACTGCAGCATGTAACCATTGGCTTAGGTTGACCGATTGCTGCCTCTACAATAGAGACAAAGTCAATTCTTTTTACAGTTCAAACAAAACACTCTCGTCCATCTTCCAGTGTATAAATCAACTCACTAT